GTGCCAGTAGTGATCTCCATGAAGAAAAGCCAACAGGGATGTTGGCAAGTGTTTGAGTCTGAGTCTCAAGTCTGAGCCTCTTTGGTACCAAGTCCCAAGTCTGAGTCTTTGGTACCAAGTCCCAATTCCGAAGTGCGAGTCCCTATTAAAAACAAGCTTTTTCCCCTGGAAAAAAAAGAAGGGTGCGTTGGTTCTAAATCATGAGTCAAGTCTGAGTAGAGTCACTGGTGCAACTTAATTCCAACTTGACAGCAAGTCCCACGACTCGAGTCCCCACCCTTGGCAACAGCAGTGCTTGCTTAAATGACTTCATCCCATGAAACAATAACAGCAAGAGTTTTCACTCAGTGGAAGTGCAGTACGATATTGGTCACTGGGTTTAAGCCTGTACATTCTAATTCTAATTCTACAGGTGGAACCTTGCTCACTTCCGATAAAACGAGGAAAGCTGATGCTTTCGGGCATTCATGCCTTACCCATAAGCACACTCAATTGTAGGTACCTTTGAGGCTGCATAAACAAGGATTATATTCTTTCTGAACACTCTTACTATTTTTGCAGGAAAAAAAATAATAGTGCAACTGTGTTCTAGATTCTCATATAGTGGCTGGAATCCTATTGGTGATTTATGCTGGCATTAAGTGTAATTGCAAGAATTACAGTGGTGATTGGTGTTCACATTCCTGGCCATGCACCAAGCCTCGTACAACTAGCATGCAACTAGGAATGCAAGTGACACTCATTACTTAGAAGTAATTGACTGCTATGAATTGTGCAGTTGGCAATAATTACATTATAATTACATTGGTGTCGATCCCCAACAGGAGACATCTAACTGTTGGGTTATACATATTCATGGCCATAGACCATGTTGACTAGGGATGTTTAGGAGCAGGGCTGCCATATTCCAGTTCCCCAAATCTGGGTAACCTATTTTATATATTATGGAAACATGCAAAGTATTCAGTTTGTATATTATACATTTTGCCTGTTATGAAAATTAAGCATATGAATTGTTGCATTGTTTTCTACCCTGTGTTTCATCCTTGGTGTCATTTATATAGTAAGCACTGGTGTGAGCAAATCAGTATAATGTGATGGGCAGAGTGCTGGACTTGGAACAGGGAGACTCTGATTCAAATTCTTTCTCCGTTACAAACCTTACTATGTTACCTTGGATCAATCAATGTGGCTCACTGAAATATATTTACTTGCTTTTTTGTGGGGAGAAATGGGTATCGGAGACCAGCACACATGGCTGAGCCTGTATAAGCAAAATAACTTTATCTTAATTTTGATGCATATGGCAACTTCTGGTGGTATTCTTGTTGGATTGCTTCAGTTTGTTTACAATCAGTTTTTACTGATGGGTAAAAATGACTGATCCATGAAAATAATACAGGTAGCCTCATGGGTAAAACATTTTCATCTGATATCCAGCAAAGAAATTCAGGAAAAACTGAGGGAAGACATTACCAGGAAACTACAGTGTGTAATTTCCTACAGTAATAAGATAAACATTTTGTTATAGCTAGAAGGTAATTTAGTGTTACTTGTTGTCCAAGTTAACTTCCCATCAAGGCCCTTGATGACTAATGAACTGAAATTGATTGGTAACTCACAACTAGAGGTGGCCGATTGAGTCAGTGGAGATATGATGAGTCAGCTCCTCCATATGCTCTATTAATCCAACAGGCCTACTCTAGTTTTGACTTATTACTGGATTTCAGCCATAGACAAAAAAGGCTAACCCCAGAAAACTTTAAAATATGTTCCTGAGTCTAAGAAATACATCTGTATGTGTGTATATGTGTCTTTCTGTGTGTCTCTATTTCTCTATCAGTCATATAAAGCAAAGATCAATTAATGCAGGTATTGTCCCCCATCCACTTAACAGTACTATCCTATATTTTGTTTCCCCTCCTCCTTAATATAAATCTTTCCCACATCCTCCCCTGCTGCTGTTTTGCTGAACTACTAGAGGCTAGCTTGCAGAAAACTGTGGAATTCCTAGTAGATCTTGGAAATACAACTCTTCTATGCACTTTTACTTATATGCAAAGTCACTTAACTTTGTAGGGCATACGTATATGTGAATAAGGGGATGCTAGAGAAGTAAAATCCCCTTCATAGATTGCTGCCTTGTCATGGCAAAGGGGCTCAAGTAATTCAGAGAGGTTTTGGGCTATGCTATGCAGGGACAGGTTGTAGTGGAGAGTTCTGACTAAACATGATCCACCTGGAGCAGAAACTGGAAGAAATGGAGTAGCCCTCATAGTCAACAAAATAGTGGGAAAAGCTGTACTGGGATATAATCTCAAAAAGGATAGAATGATTTCAATACGAATTCAAGGCAGACCTTTCAACATCACAGTCATCCTAATTTATGCGCCAACGACCACTGCTGAAGAGGCTGAAATTGACCAATTCTAGGAAGACTTACAACACCTTCTAGAACTGACAACAAAGCAGGATATTCTTGTTGTTAAGGGGGATTGGAATGCTTAAGTAGGGAGTCAAGAGAGAAAAGGAACAACAAGTAAGTTTGGCCTTGGAGTTCAAATCGAAGCAGGGCAAAGGCTAATGGGGTTTTGTCAAGAGAACACGCTGGTCATCACAAACACTCTTTTCCAACAACACAAGAGGCGACTCTACACATGGACATCCCCAGAGGGGCAGCACCGAAATCAGATTGATTATGTTCTCTGCAACCAAAGATGGAAACGCTCTAGAGAGTAAGCAAAAACAAGACCTGGAGCTGATTGTGGCTCTGATCATCAGCTTCTTATAGCAAAACTCAAGCTTAAAATGAAGAAAGTAGAAAAACCTACTGGGCTAGTCAGGTATAATCTAAACCAAATCCCTTATGAATATACAGTGGAAGTGAAGAACAGATTTAAGGAACTAAATTTGGTGGACAGAGTGCCTGAAGAACTATGGATAGAGGGTCATGGCACTGTACAGGAGGCAGCAACAAAAACCATCCCAAAGAAAAGGAAATGCAAGAAAGCAAAGTGGCTGTCCAACAAGGCCTTACAAATATAAGAGAAGGGAAAGGAAACAAAATGCAAAGGAGATAGGAAAAGTTACAGAAAATGGAATGCAGACTTCCAAAGAATAGCAAGGACAGACAAGAGGGCCTTCGTAAATGAAGAGTGCAAGGAAACAGAGAAAAATGATAGAAAGGGAAAAACCAGAGATCTATTCAAGAAAACCTTTTGTGCAAAGATGGACATGATAAAGGACAAAAATGGCAGGGACTTCACAGAAGCAGAAGACATCAAGAAGAGGTGGCAAGAATACACAGAGGAATTATACCAGAAAGATCTGGATGACCTGGACAACCCAAAGTGTGGTTGTAGACCTTGAGCCAGACATCCTGGAGAGTGAAGTCAAGTGGGCCTTAGAAAGCATGGCTAACAACAAGGCCAGTGGAGTGATGGCATTCCTGTTGAACTATTTAAAATCTTAAAAGATGAGGCTGTTAAGGTGCTACACTCAATATGCCAGCAAGCTTGGAAAACTCAGTGGCCAGAGGATTGGAAAAGATCAGGCTACACCCCAGTCCCCAAGAAGGGCAGTGCCAAAGAATGCTCCAGCTACCGTACAATTGCACTCATTTCACATGCTAGCAAGGTTATGCTCAAAATCCTACAAGGTAGGCTTCAGCAGTATCTGGACCAAGAACTCCCAGAAGTACAAGCTGAAATTCGAAGGGGCAGAGGAACTAGAGATCAAATTGCTAACATGCGCTGGATTATGGAGAAAGCCAGAGAGTTCCAGAAAAATATCTACTTCTGCTTCATTGACTATGCAAAAGCCTTTGACTGTGTGGACCCACAACAAGTTCTATGGCAAGTTCTTAAAGAAATAGGGGTGCCTGACCACCTTATCTATCTCACAAGAAACCTGCTTCTTGGGAGTAAAACAATGTCAAGTCTAGACAGTATCTTAAAAAGGAGAGACCTCACCTTGCCAACAAAGGTCCACATAGTCAAAACTATGGTTTTTCCAATAGTGATGTATGGAAGTGAGAGCTGGACCATAAAGAAAGCTGACCGCCAAAAAATTGATGCTTTTGAATTGTGGTGCTGGAGGAGGCTCTTGAGAGTCCCCTGCACTGCAAGGAAAACAAACCTATCCGTTCTGAAAGAAATAAACCCTGAGTGCTCCCTGGAAGGACAGATCCTGAAGCTGAGGCTCCAATACTTTGGCCATCTCAGGAGAAGAGAAGACTCCTTGGAAAAGACCCTGATGTTGGGAAAGTGTGAAGGCAAGAGGAGAAGGGGAACGACAGAGGACGAGATGGTTGGACAGTGTTATCGAAGCTACCAACATGAACTTGACCCAGCTCCGGGAGGCAGAGGAAGACAGGAGGGCCTGGTGTGCTCTGGTCCATGGGGTCCCGAAGAGTCGGACACAACTTAATGACTAAACAACAACAGAGAAGTAAATGTGGAGTTAGTTCTTTTAAAATAAGTTATTTTCTTATCCAACATCCTATATAGCCTCAATCTCTGCTAGAAATAACCCTTGGTGCTCTCCATCATCTCTGGGAATTTGTGGGGAGAACAGGGAGCTAACTGAAGGTGCTGTGGAATAATGAATCCATTTAAGAATAGAGTAGGCAATGGCTTTTAGTCTGATAAGCACTTCCCTCCTTTCATCGTTGTTTCAGAATTTATTGTGTCTTTATTATGAAGCAGATGTTACCCACAAAACAGAAGTCATGCCTTCTCAAAGAAATCAGAAGGTCAGTTTGCATTTATGATGTTTTAAGAGACCCTTGGAGCTGTCCAAGCAGTAGTGCTTGGAAACACTACTTTTTGGATTATACTCACAGCATCCCACAGCCAGCTGCCTGGGTGGTTCTGGGAGTTGTAGTTCAAAAACAAACTTTTCCAAAGACTGGCAAATGGTGAGAAATAATTCTTAGGCAGCTCTTAGTATTGCATAGATCAAAGAAGGCCTCCTTCCCTCCTTATGAGTTTTGTTCTTACCTCTGTGACCAGACAGCATAAGCTCTCGAATTCAAGGCATATTCCAACTCAAAGCGGCTACGTAAAGCAGCAACATGGCTACGGCCAGGACATCCTCGAGCAACCAGGCAATCCGAAGAAGAGGAAGGAGACAAAGAACCACTGCTGTTGCTAGAGGCTGGTGACATTAGCTGGATTTAACAAAGAGAACATTGTCAATATTCATTCATAATAACTGCCAAGTCTTGTCTGAATGGTTGACAGCAGCACTCAATATTGGTGCTACCTTACAAGTACCTTTGCTACAGTCTTCAGTAGAGATTGGCATGAACCACCTGTTCATGCCAGTTTGGCTGTTGGCCCAACAGGTGTTCTGTGGTTCTGAGATGGTACTGAGCCCCGCCTCCTTTGATGGGTGTCCAGTGAGAGGCTGAGCTGCCTCCTAGTGGGTGCCCACCAGAGGGGACAGGGCTTGGAATCATGTCAGAACCGCAGAACACCTGTTGAACTGATGGCCAAATTGGCACAAACTGCTGAATTGGTAGTTCGTGCCCATCTCTAGTCCTCAGCTATTTATGCAACTTTTGTGATGCGAGATGTATTTTTGCACAGAGCTGGTTGCCAGGGGGATAATAGTTACTATAAATTGCACACAGTATCCTTTTGACATGTTCTGGGTACAAAGTCTTCACTCCCACTAATATGGTCCAACTGTAGACCGGGGGAAGATCATTGACCCAGACTTCTCAGGCAGCATGCTAGAAAAAAAGGATGGCTTCCTTGTCATTAACTTTAACAGACTCACTATCAAGTCTGATGCTGTCATTTTATCCACTGTGTCTCATGCAAACACCAAAGAAAACAGTGAGTCCAAGTTTTCAAATACTGTACCTGGAAACCAGGCCGGTCACATTCAAAGTGGAAAGTAAAACAGAGCTACAGTATTTCTTTCTGAGGCTGAGTTCTAATATCGCTATCATGTCATGCAAAATATCAGCTTTGAAACAAATAGATTGTTTCACCTAATCATTTAAAGGAAATGGGAAAAGAAATCCAAGGAACCTAAGGAAAAGAATGCATTGGTGGAAGAACTTGGTGGAGTGGGTTGGGTACAACACAGCATCATCATTTCCAGCTGGTTAGTACACAGTAGCCAAACCCTGGTAGGAGAGGAACAGGAAGAAGAAGGAGCTAGGTCTCAAATATATTCTCGTCCTCATCTATGTAAGGCTGTGGTCACACCAACAAAATCTTTTCCAGCCCCCCCCCTTTGATTTCACAATTTAAATTGTGGTCACAAGACACACAACGGTTAGCAAATCATTTACCCAGCAACTGTGCCAACTGCACATCACTTCTTGCTCAGCCAGAGGCTTCTAACCTTTTTTGTTGGCAATCTTTTTTTTTTAATTTAATGTTGCATTGCTGCATGTGTGAACGGTCTTATGGCAACTTTTTTTAACTATTGTCACCATGCATGTCCTTTTAATTTTTAATTCCACTGCATTTGTGTTGATGTATCAGTTAACTTCTGTCAAACGGTCTCAACAAGAAGCTCTAGACGCTTATTGAATTGGAAGGAAATGACTCGGTAGCCCAAAAACACATTAGGATGCACATCCTGGAAAAGAATGTCATGAGAGCACAAAGCATGACAGGAACAGGATTAAAAGTTGCATTAACCATAGGAGGACATTTCCCTGGCGTGACCATAGCCTAAGTCTTTTCGTGTGTTTTTAAAAATGAGATACTTGTTTGCAATGAGCCAATTACTGGATAAGACACGTACTCTACATCACAAAATAATTTTATTTGTCCTGGAGGAAAAATGTGTGGATTTATATAGGCAACAACATAGAGCAACAGTGGGTTATGACTCCATGACCATGAAGCTGTGCTCAAAAGAGCTAAGCTTTTCATAAGTCACTATCAAAAGCAACAGCTGATTTTCTGAAAAGAAGAGTTTAAAGGACTGAAATTATCTTTGTCCTTCATTTCACATGACTGATGAAGATTCGGAAGCTTAGCTTCCCTTTTTGTGGCATTTGCTCTATTAAACTTTTACTTTCTCTACTTGGCCGATGGATTTGATGAGTTTGAGTGGGCTAAACACTAGTCTTTCTCCTGTGACTTACACAGGCTCACACCCCAGATTTAATCTCATAGGGCCTGCTGTTGAGATATCACAGTCACTAGCTAGCTCTCCTGCAAGACAGCACATTTGTGATATACAGCTTTGCTCTGCCAAACACACACACAACACACAGAAACACAGAGAAAAAACCCTCTTAAAAGCATTTCCACCACCTACCCACATAAAATAACCTGCTGCAGCTGGAGCTTGAAAAATGAAACAGATGATTGGAGCTACTGCTTTGACCCTTTGGCTCAAGAGTGGTAATGATACACTCAGAAGAGAGGGAGGGGGAACGTTACCAACACGGAGACAGAGGGAGCAGAGTGTAATACCAAGAAGTGGTTGCTAAAATCAGGTACATCCCCTGTTTTATCAGCTCTCTTCTCCTGACTAAAAGCCAAGAGGAACAGAGCATTTATTGATGTTAAATTCAACTGACTCAGGCAATTGCTTTTTTCTAATTGATCCACTTTTTCTCTTTTTATCCTCATAAAATGTAGCTTTTTCTAAGATGACTCCTGAGGACTCAAAGAATGCTAGGCCTTGTCAGGGCTCAAATCCCAACCTTGTTTTCGAACCTCGTGGTATTTAGGAAGGCAAGAAAGAGAAATTGCCATGGAAGACGAGTACTTTCAAGCCATAGCCGGTATATTTCTTCTATAGGCCCAGACCAGATCCCATCCATCATGAATTAGAAACTAGGAATTCCAGACATGGTTGCAAGCAGGGGTGAGCAACTTGTGGCCTGCAGGTAGCCCTCTTGTGATTTTTGCAGCCCCTCACTCCTGCCATCACAACTGGTGAAGCCACAACACTGAGGTCAGTGGCACTGCTACACCAACAAGCTGTAGCATTGAAAACAGGCTGCACTGCCACTGGTGGGGGCAGGTCACAGAAAGCCTTCCCCTCGCCTCCCTGTTCCTTCTCTCCCAGTATGGAAGGGGGTACTGTGCCCTGGACACTAGTGTGACTCTAGGAACTGCCACAGATGCCACTGAATTTTGGTGACAACTGAGGGGACAGACAATCTGAGGTCAAAAGCCGTATTGGCAATGAAGGCCTGCTTGTTATATTATTCTTATGTTATAGAGGTGACTAGCTGCAACTCAGTCTACCCACAGGAAGATCCAATCCTTAAAAAACAAAACAAAACAAAAAACAACCCTCTTTTTTATGAATGTGGGGTTATATGCTTCTGTATCCATGATTCAGAATTCCAGGAAATGGCCTGATATTGCTGCACAATATTGTGCCTGCGTTGCCAGAAGGAAAAAGAATGTCAAGCATTATATAGCAAAGGGCAGCCTGAATGGTGACAACACCAATGGCAGCAGTCAAGATGGTTTACTCTTTTGTGCTCACTGCTAGTCACAAAGCGACACCATGCAAGGGAAAAATCTCAGAAGCTGACAATTTTTTTTAAATTTATTAAGTGCTTGTCACCCATACACAAAGCAATTGTCATGAGTGTTTTTCAAAAAGTGCACCGGAGAATCCACCTCAAGATAAGTTAATAGCAAACATCCTGGATACGGCGGAGATGGGCAAACTATCAGAATGGCTAGACTCAACAAGAAAGACAAACCATGAAGATTGTTGGCATAAATTTTATGATTGGCTTAGAAAAAGAATGTAAATTAATATTTGATCATTGAAAGCCTAAGATTAATTTAAAATTAGAATATGTATGATACACCAGTTAAACCAGAAATTTATGTATCTTTGAAATGTAACAGATAAGAATGAATATTGTAAAATGTTCATGTTGATTTACAACCCGTTTAATTCCATGTTTCTTCTCCCCATCCCTAACCCTAACCCCTAAAATAAAACTTTTAGAAAGTGCACTGCACAGCATTAGTTATTAAATTTGTTTTTCATTGCCTTCTCTTAAAGAGTTAGTTGAGAAACTGCAGATTAAGAAACTGCTATGTTTTCGACTTTTTGTGGTTTCTTGGCTGGCACTTCATGATGAGAAAAATAATTGTAAAAACATTTTTATAAGTGATATAGCACATCAGCAAGAGTCTATATCCAGTCAACATTTTTTTTCACTTCTCCTGCCCTCTGATGGGCAGGGGAAGTGATTAATTTGCTAGTACCCAGAAGTGGTTTGCTCATTAAGCCACTTTACAATATTGGCAGACGGTAAGGAAATTGTTTGTTTTTTATCAGTTCCAGCAATTGCATGCTCTGGAACTGACCCAGACCAAAGTGTTCCGATCCACACCTGAAAAGTAGAAGCTTGGCAGGGGCCAGAAAGGTGTGGGTAGGATGTTCAGGGGGCAGGTTGCTGTGTTCTAGTTACATTTAAGAGCACACCATCTGGTAGCTATCTTTAAAAGCACACCACTTTGTCCCTGCAGCATTCCAAGCAGTAGGCTAAATTGACCATGTAGTCCGTCTTGGAGAGCATTTGTAAACCTTTGTTAGTGGGCAAAGTTTATCTTGCACATGCTATTTAATGTTAATCACATTATGTTAATTAAGCTCATTTAAGAAAGACCTTTGCTGTGATCTGGGAACATAGCTCTTGCTAAACTTTTTTTGCACTTCCTAATTGCCAATAACACCATAACCTCAACACCAGCTTATATCATTTACACCATTTCAGATTTAAAAGGTCAAAAGAAACAAATACTGTGAGAGTTGTCTTTTGGCCCTTTCTGTGGATGAAGTGATCAATCTAGTTGCCCCAGTTTCTACACAGACCTCTGCATAGGGACAATGAAAGAGTAGTGCCACAGTTCTAGCAGCCTGCTTCATATAATAGAACGTTGTAGAAAAGGCTGGTCTCAGTCACACATGTTCAGGTTACTTCAAGCTACGGTATTATGATGGTTGGGGGCAGCCATGATGGCAATGTAGGGAGTTGCTACTGGCAACCAGAACACTTACAGGGATTAGGCATTTCTTATGTCTGTGCTGTGCCACTTACAATCCTTGCCTGTTGAGTTCTGGGCTAACTTAATGCCTTGGTTTATCCCTTCAGGTCTTGGACCAAGTTATCAGAAGGGCTGACTATAGAAAGCTTACCCAAGCTATCAGATCAGCATCTGAGAACTTGCTCTTCATACACCAGTGAAAGCTGTGAGGCTGGTAAAGGCCAGGGAAAAGGCCCTCTTCTCTCATGCATTTGCAGATATGCCTCTCTGGAAAGTAAATATCTATACATATCAGAGCACCTCTCCCTAAGATCAACTTCCTTTGCTACTCACATCTTTCAGCATTGGTGCTGTGAGTGGGAATCCTGAGGGAGGCCAGGAAGTCTACAACTAGGAAATGGGCCTTCTCTGTGGTGACCACCTTTTATGGAATACTCTACCTGTGGAAGTGCACCAGGCACCTTCCCTCCTAATATTCAGGAAGCATATAAGAACTTTCTGTTTCCAAGGGGCATTTCAGGAGATCCTCCTCTCATAATTGTTGCTGACTTGGTCTTATTTTGACCATTGTATTCTGATATATATATTTTTGTCCGTTGCTGCTGTCTTGGTTTTTAAATCTGCTGTCTTTTTAATTTTTTTAATTTTTTTTTTCATTTGTAATTTTGGGGTTGGTTGGGATTTGGCTGTTTTCTTTACATTTTATTGTTGGAAACTGCACATTAGGCCATCAGACGGTATAACATAAAAATATAATCAATCAATCAATCAATCAATCAATCTGGTTTTTCTTTGCTGGCTTTTAGGAGACTCATCCCAGATTTCATTTGGCTAATCTCCATAAACTATACATACACATTCATTTCCATTATTATCTCTGGTATACAGATTATGCAGGGTTTTCTAATGCCTCAGAAACCTGTTCAAGCACAGATGACAGAGGAATTATAGAAAAATACAACGGTGCCTCTTACGATCTTTGCCTTCAAATCTTAAATACTAAATATCTGTTTCCACCCAGATTGAATAATGATAACATCTTAAATTCCTAGGTTCTAAACATGATG